TTTGCTTCTATTGTAAATTAATACAGCTGGCATTACAATTGCCACATTGTAAATGTGAATTTGGGCACGGGAAATATGCAGTCTTTTATGCCCTTTAGTTACTAATTCTGTATAATCATTCCTGTTTAATGCAGAATTGTAAAACTTTTACTGGGTACTAAAAATGTTTATTTAGTTTTGAATTTTATAGCTTAGCTCAGAATGGCACGATTTGAATGCACCTGATAGTTTGCCTAAAGTTAAATCTTGTTAATCCTTAATAGTAGATACTATCTTTTTAATAGATCCTGTAAGAAAAAAGGTTTCTTTATAGCAAGCACTTTATACTTGATGCAGTTTTTTGTAGTATTCCCTGTGGCCCTTTAAGGTCACAGACAGATAATTGTCTTACTTTAAAAATTGTTTGTTCATAGATTTTCTCATCCTAGCACAAGTCCAGGTGTCACCAGGACCTGTAGCTACCTTTCTTCATGACTTAGCTGTTGTATATATGTGGATTATGCATAGTTAAAGGCTTGTTTTCTGCAGAGAAAATATAAATGCTGCAATGGGAAGTGCTTAGGAGCACTTATGTTTAGTCTGTTAGCTCCTCCATGACCCATGAGGTTGGAGTCAATTGTATTGCTTTCATTTTTTTAAGTAATGGCTCTTCAGCATGCGATTATCAAATTCCTCTCTCACATTGATGGCCTGTTATGATGAACCCCTGTAGAGTAGTGTTTTTCTAAGCATGGTCCATGGATCCTTGGTGGTCTGCAGTCATGTGCCAGGTGGTTCTAGCCATTTTCTACACTCTTCTAAAAGATGTGTCAGGACAAATTAGTACAATCCACATGACAAGCAGGTGCAAAGTATACAAAGCTCGATAAAACAATGCAAAAGTATATAAAGCTTCAGTGGAAATAGGTAACTAGGTGTCAATTCAGCAAGAGAGTCCAATTGAACTTAACTTGTTCTGTAATGTTGACATTCAATTGAGTCATCCAAGTGTCTTACTCAGTTCAAAAGTGTTGGGAAAACGCCTTGGCATTTATGGCCACACAGGTAACTCAGTCACCTTAAAGGAGAACTGTGGGATCAGTGCTTTTCCCCATAGTTCTCCTAAGGGTAACGGGAGGACACAAACTAGCGTCCTCCCATCACCCAAAGCTCAGTATACCGCGAGCCACAGCTCGCGGTATACTGAGAAACCGCAGCCGGAACAGACCCGACATTACTGTCTGGATCCACCCAGCTGCGTGAGTGACAGCTGGCTCTGCCTATCTAGAGGCAGAGCCAGCTGTACCCGCCCCCTCCCCCGTCCGTTCTGCCAGTCAGCGCTGGAGGATCGGACAGGGGAGGGGGGGATCCCTGCAGGGAGCCGTGAGTGGCAGCCACCACTCTCTGCAGGGAGATTGAGAAGTGAGCGAGCGCCGGTATGTGTTCGCTCACTTCCTGATCTATTGAGCCAACGTGTGACAGTTTAATTGTCACACGTTGGCTCGAACTATAAGATTGAGTGATTTTCACTCGCCTCATAGTTCTACTTTAATCCAACCACCATGGTGTCATGATATGTGTCAAAGCAGGACAGGGATATGAAAGTCCACAAAGAGAGCAGGGAACAGTGCCAACTAATAAGAATGCTGCACAGGTAGAGAGAACAGGAAGCTATCAGCTAACAAGATTTCTGGCAGGATCAAAAGATTTTTTTGCAGTTATTTATCAGATATAACAAAACACTTTCAATGGTATGCTTAACAGACCAAAAGGAAGCAAATAAGAGCAGTTCATTGCCCTTCAGAAGATTTATGCTTTAAAGAGATTCTGTCACCAAATTAAGAAAATCAAGTAAAAATACAGAAAAATATTTCTGTATCTTAAATGCTTATTTGCAATGTGTTTTCTCTTTCCATCAATAATTATTTGCAATGTGCCTTTAATCGTGATCGAAAACTTGATTAATCGATTTACTAGAACAACCGTTTCCCTCCTTGTATAAGAAACCTAAATGTGGTGGCCTACTCTGTCTTGATTATTGGAGCTCCCTCCTCATTGGGCTATCCCCCCCTTCAGTCTATTATGAATGCTGCTGCCAGACTCATCCACCTCATCTACCGATCAGTGTCTGCAACTCCCCTCTGCCAATTCCTTCACTGGCTTCCAATCACCCAAAGAATACAATTCAAAATATTAACAACCACTTACAAAGCCATCCACAACTCTTCCCCAACTACATGTCCAACCTCATCTCAAAATATCACCCTAACCATTCTCTCCATTTCTCTCAAGACCTTCATCTCCCATGCTCGCCTCCAGGACTTCTCTAGAGTCTCTCACCTATTCTGGAACTCCTTACCAACCTGCCAGCTATTTCCTGCTCTGACTGCCTTTAGGCAATCCCTGAAGACCCATCTCTTCGGAGAAGCCTATCCTGCCTCTACCTAACCACTGAACTATTGCTCTCTCAAACAACTAATTCCCACACAGCTGCAACCTTTTGTATCACTTGCCCCTCCCTTTTAGATTGTAAGCTCTCACGGGGAGGGCCCTCCTTACCGTCTTGAATTGTATTGTAACTGAAATGTCTTCCTTATATTGTAAAGCGATGCCAGAACTGTTGGCGCTATATAAATCCTGTATAATAATAATAACACTTTGTGTGATTGCACTTTACACATGATCTCACCAGTGAGCCATACATGTATGGGCTTCTCTAGCAGGAGAACACCTACAAAATATATCTGTTGTATGATAATGAAAGGGCTTCTATTAAATGAATCCAATATTTACAATACAAATTCTTGTAGGATTTGTCATTGTTCAGAGAGTACATGTTCAGAGAGTACACTTTGGGCCCTGGGCAATAAACATGTATGTCCTCCCATAACCTCCCAATAACACTTGTGACCCTGTGTGCAAGAGCAATTTATTTGATATTTATGTATTGCATAGAATTGTTTAAAAGTTTCCTCGAGGCGCTGTCATGTTAATTATTGTCTCAAGACACTGTGCTAATGACCTCTGTGATTATTTGAGCTAATGTTTGCCATTCTCTCTGCCAAGTTCATTTTACAATAGTAAAATTGTTAGCAGGCAGGTGATGGGGTCAAATTGATTTTATTTTAATATCATTTTGTTGTACATTGTGTAGTATAATGAGAGAAGCAATGGTGGAATAACAAAGCTATGGGAAACGGTCTTAAAGGGTTATTAATAAGTTGTTTAAGACAAGAATCTCACAGATTATGTCCAGTCGAAATCATCTGCTGCACTCTTTACAAATGACAAAATGAGGTTCCCCTTAACATAACAGATGATTGCCCTGCATGCCTCCCTGTTGCAGTTTGTGTATTGCATGCTTAAAATGACTTTATTTATATTAAAATGACTTTATTTATATTTACCAGAAAATTAGGTTGCCCTATGGGGTTCCCCATCCCATTATATCAAATGTACCTACATAGACAAGAAAGACTGATTTTTGAGATACCCAAATTACAACATTTCCTATTATATCAAAGTAATTTTTTTTAGATAAATTAAAAACCAATAGAAACATGAATATGTACAGATTGTAATTTGTTTTGATTGAATTTCTATAGCATGCTTAATATCTACATATCGCCATCCGTCCCCTATTTTTTTACAGTGTAAAAGTTTATTAATTTTTAAACACAAAACAAAACATACAGCAACAAGAAAAATATAAACAAACAATCCAGTATTAATTCTCAGGTACAGGAGGATCAACCTACAAAAAGATATCTCAAGATTTGTCAAATACAGTACATATTGCCTAATGTATATTGAATCACATTGGTAATAACAAATAGCACTTATCCTGGTGACTTGGCCTCCGAATGGTCCATGCCAAGAAACAACCTGGAAGAATAGCAGTAAGAGAAAGAAAAAAAAACAGAAGGGTTAGATATGCAAGACAGAAAGGAGACAAGAACCTAAAGCCAATCACCTATTTATAACGAGTACTCATTATAATATTTTACAAAGTATATCCAAACTGTATCTTAGAAGAAGTTGCTCAAAATGAGTGACCGAGTGGAGATGTCTCAACACATTTCACAGATGTATGTTCCGCTTGTTCACGAGTTTGCTGAGGCACTACTGAAAATATACGCGGCTTCTATAAATACACAACATATCCAACAATGCATATAAAAAGTTTGAACAATTCTTTAAATCTTACTTGTACATACGACTAGAGTCTTGTAGGTTTAGCTGGAGTATATCTGTTAAGATATCATGGGCAATATCAGTCGCACGTACAAGTACGATTTACAGAATTGTTTAAACTTTGTTTATGTATTTTTGTATATATATATTTATAGTATATTGGTAGATTCTCTGTAAATTTATATTTTCACTAGTGCCTCAGCAAACTCCCAAAGGAGCACAATATACATCTGTGAAATGCGTTGAGACATCTCCACTTGGTCAACAATTTTGATCAACATCTAAGATACAGTTTGGATATACTTTGAAAAAGATTACAATCTTTACATATTAATGGTTCTATTGGCTTTTAATATGTTAACAAACAAAAAAAATGTACTATGATATAATATGAAATGTTGTGATTTGAGCACTTCAAAAGTCCATCTTTCACACTTGAAATAAGTTTAAAAAAAACATACTTAGATCTGCTATTTATATTTATTTCACTTAAAACATGTATTTTGAATCTACTTACCTGACATTTACATTAATTGAACCTACTCTACTGGAGGGGGTTCACACACCACAGTTCAAGAAATGTTGGTTTAGCTGTCAAAGTAGAATTCAGTAAAGAAAAACCACATTGGACATTGGAGTGATTTATCTCCAGGGAGAGGGGAGTGAAGGGTTTTATTTCTTCTGTTTAGTTGACTGGTACTCAAAGTGCCGTAGATCATATAGATATGTATGAACAACACAGAACAACAACAAACCTATGTGAAATTAATACATTATCTAGACTGTTCCACTTTATCTACTGTATCTCATATTTTGTGTCTCCATAGGACAGCTTGAAAAATTACTGTTTCCTGGTCTTTGCTGTGATCTGCTTGCTCGGTGCCCTCTATCTCTATTTCGTTTTGCCTGAAACAAAAAACAAAACATTTCATGAAATTGACCAAGCTTTTGCCAAAATTAATAAAATGTCCACGGCAGTAAACGATTCAGAGAAATACTGGAGTGCAGAGAAGACTGTTGAACAGACTGAGAATACTAAAGCTCACACAGATAATGCTGATCACAACAGTATGGAGATGGATCACATAAATAAGATGTGATGTGTCTTTAGGGGCATGAAGGCTCTCTACCTGGATTACAACTCCCATCACTAGCTGTTTACCCATTTGTAACAGTGTTGTGGCAACTCCTGACTGTCTTTTTTGTATAATTACTACAAATTAATTATGCATACATATTATGATGTCTTATAACATGTGCCAAAACTTCTTTAAAGGGACACTTGCCTTGTATTTGCAAGGTAAAGTAACATTGTCACTCATCTCCCTGACTACCCAGCAGGAAATACTCACAGAAACTTCACTCCCCTGCTGCTCCATTAATTGTCAAATTAAAACTCCAGTAGAATTGAAATTTTTATGTAGTCACAGACTCCAATTTTAGTCCCCAAGCTTAGAATGTGTTTATAACAGTGAGGGCAGAACTTTGATGCTAAACATGGCCATTTAGTACCCTACCTTCCCCTGTTACTCCGGAGCATGAACAGCTACAAGCCTGGTAACAAAATACATTTATGGCTTGTGTGAGAAGCAAGTCAGCTGCAACCACGAGTAAACATGGCTTTAGCTTGCCTATTGTAGCAGTAAATAAGAACATCATGCATCTATAATAAAAACACTTAGAAATACATGGCAAAAAGCAACAATTAACACAGAATAATACTGTTCCATAATATCAAATAGAACATTTTAGTGCTGCATTCCAGATCTTTCAACAGCAAATCACCATCTACACTTGTGTCAACAGTAAATCCCTATCTACACTTCACTTAAACTAGTGTTGATCAAACAGGCCCGAGTTTATTTCATGAAGAGCTTCACTAATCTTGCTCCAGTTTGGCAAATGTGAGCTCTGGTTACAAGTTTGGGGCATGCCTTATAGCTGTATGTGATGTTACATAATAGGGTATCAAAGGATATGTAGCCCACCACTGCAATCCGGAGTATAGCACAATAAACCACATTATAGCATGGTATCTCTCCCTACACAGGCTTGTCTCCTCTCCCTAACATCTCTAATACACACTGATGATATGGCTGCTGTGAGCCCACTCTCTTATAATGAGTGGGATGGGATATCCATTCCTTCAAATTACTGGCTTTTGAAACTCAGCTGACCAGGAGCAGAGGCTAAGCAATACATTATGGGTTTCTAATTGGGACGCACCGATACCTATACTAATATCGGTACCTATGCCGAGTATTTGGGTGAGTACTTATACTCGCCCAAATGCTCCACTACATTTCCCGATACTGGAGATTTCCTCAAGGGAAGCTGGCTCCATGCTGTTTGGCCGGCTCTATGCTGATTGGCCAGGAAATATCAGCACTAGTACTCGATACTGAAAAACCGGTATCGATGCATCCTAGTTTCTAATTTCTCACATGAACCGCAAACCTTTTGGCCAGTAGTTTGCGGCTTGACCTGAATGCAAAACCTGAGGATCTACCTTGAACCCAAACTTGTGCAAACCTGAATTTCATCCATACTAAGATCCCATGTTACAGTTTTTGGTAGATGCTGGAGATGGTTTATACTATATACTAAAGGCGAATAGGCTGTTCACTTTTCAAGGGGATTTGCTCCTTAGTGAATTTCCTAGCTTAGTGAATGTGGAGAACATTCAGTTTTCAATGAATACCCAATCATGTGCAAGGAAAATAGAAAGAACACTATTTTTGGTTGTACAACTGGATGATGAAAGTCAGCACAGTTTCACCTCATTCACTAAGCAAATGAACAGCATATTGCCTTTGGCACATCAATCCTTAAGTTTCTTTGGTACACAGGAGGTGAGATCTCTGCAGTGGAGTGCCCATGTGTGCAAACTACCGTGGCTAATATATTGAGCAGAAAAAAAAAAACTATTAGTCCTGTAAGCTTTTATGAAGCCAACAGATGATTAAGGTGTCTCTATCTGTAACTGAAATGTCATCTTTCAGTGAGTTTAATAATGCAGAGATTGTCATGTTGCCAGAATTCAGCAGGTATGGAAGCGAAAAGGAGAAACAATAACCAGGCCAAGTCCGTAGACAACAAAAGGAAATGATTCACATCATATACAGTATTGTAATGTAAAAATTCTGGTAGGAAGTGGTAAGTGTGCATTCTCGCAACATAGAGATTCAATTCGGAGGTATCCCAAGCATGGTATCAAACTGCAGGCATCCATGCTTACTTACGTTCTTCCTGCTCTAAGTTGAAGTTGAATTTATGCCATTGGTCAGAAATACCCCATAGTCATAACCCATAGATCTCAGTCTAGATTTACCTTTTATTGGTTCAGAGCATAGATTCTTAAAGTTCACTGTCTCATGGCCACTTTAAATAAAGTCACAAATGTTGACTTATGAGCACCCAATACTACCAATGACTAGAATATAGGAAGAAGGCTCAGGGTCACCAGGGTTATGCTAAAATACTGGTTGTCACTGCACCATATTTTGAAAAACACTTGTGAAGAGTTAATAAAGGATAATTGCTGACTGGTGTCTACAGGTTGGTGCACTTTGCACAGTGCTCTTTGCCTTATTCAATAAATTGTTGACTTTCCTTTTTTATATCATTGTTTAGTTTGAATGACAAATGTTTTTGTACTACTGTATTGTTTATTGTACAGTATATGTGTGGCCTATAGCAGTCCACTCACATGTGTATTTTGCTTTCTATGTGCTTTTATTTTCACTTTCCTTCTTGGCAGGTTCCTTTTCCACCTTCTGGTAATGTGTAAGCATGCATTTGGACCCATTACTCCTTTACAGGCTCACTGGATGCATTGCCAATGCATTTTACTATGTTTTTAATGTTAAGAGCACAGTGCTATTTCAGTAACTCATAGTTACCAATTGATACACTGATGAGCTCAGCCCAGTACATGAGCAATATTGGTTGTTTGCTTTGGACTACTGGGCTCCGTTTACAACACTCCTGAAAAAGTTGGACATGTTTAATGAAACAATGGTAGTGCACTGTGTGTGCTGTGTGCTGCAGCCCCCAACTGAAGGGGGGCAGAGCAACAGCAAAATGGGGGCCCTGTCCTGCAGAAAGCCAGTTTCTTTACAACTTGATGTGAGGTGAAGTAATTCTGTTCTAAATTTACTATCTAAGGTCTAATAAAAGCCATCTAAGATCTCTAGTTTTTTTCTTTCAGAATGATTATTAAGCATTTTCAAGCTGGCATGGTAAATGTCTTAAAATAAATGTGATGTATCTGTTTTTTTAATGGTAAATGCAGTTGCTAAGTTGAATGGACTAAACCGTCCTGGAAGGGCTGCGAAGGAATGAGCAGGACTTACATAATTTCAATAAGCTCTTGCAGCTAGAGCAAAGTGCTGTCAATCTAAAGGGCTGGAGGCAGAGCTCGACATTGCTGTTCATTGATAGCTACAGCAGCAGCGAGGGTGACAATGCTGCAGTGATTTCAGCGCAGATGGAAGAGCATTGTAAGCCTTTTAAAGGAAGTGCCTGTTCAATAGTTTTACTGGCAGAATCTACGGACATTTACAAAATGTTCTAGGGGTATTTAGAAAAACAGGGAGCCCAATCGTCTTGGTCTGGGCAGCCTACATCACATATGGGATTTTATGGTTTGACCATAGTTTTCTATTTTAGGGTAAACCTCTGCTCACTGTGAGAATTCAATGAGGATAATAAAAAAATATACAGACCTTCTTCATGTGAATGTTTGTGAACACAGGCTCACTTCACCTATGTCATACTAAGTCAATCAGTCAGTTTTATTCAGGTTCTCTGCACTTTAGCTCATTTAATACATTGGTAATGAAGGCCATTTGTTCCTTGCACTGTTTATTGAATAATGCTCATTGTGTTTAATGGTACTTGTTCTGACTAATGCCATGCATTGAAATAATGAAAAAGTCCTGAATACTGATCTAAAAAAATATGGCAAATGTTAGCTCTCACTTTCAGCATCTATGGTGTGAAAGAACATAAGGTCAACCTCTCAGGGCTAAAAAATACATTTTTGCAGCAATAACTTAGTAAAGAGCATCAAAGGCATACATTCACAATGACACCAAAACAACTAAGAATTACATTGTACCACTGTATTAGTCAAAAGCTGTGATCATGCTTTGTGTTTTATGGCTATGTATTCTTATCCATATGCATTATTACAAAATTGTATCTATTTCTTTTTTGTAATAGGGAGGTACTGTGTGCCATGTTCACACTTATTTCTATGTCCTCTGGGGTACAAATTTCCTGTATTATGTAAAAAAAATAACCTACATAATAAATGACTTTTTTTTTTACTGCACCTGATATATTTTGGAATGCCCAAAGAGCTTATTAACATAGGTATCTTCAGGACTTATTCAGTTAGACCTGTTCTTGAAGCTGGAACTACACAAACCAAATACACATAGTTCTTATTAGTGCCTGTTCTTATAATCAGTGACCAAGTCAGAATTACAAAACTGCTCAGACACTTTTCCTATTAAGAAACTTGAGTCTGACTAAGACCAACATAGAGATGGTATTATCACACAACTTTATAGTGATGACCCCCATTTATTCTCTATCTACACCTCCTTCCTGAGTCAGCTGATAACCTCTCATGATTTCCAATATCATCTCAATGTCAATGACACTCAAATATATCTCTCTGTTTCTCAGCTCACCCCAAACCCCACCCCCCAGTCTCATTGTGCTTTACTAGTGTACTAACTGACAGATCAGTGTGGATGTCGCATCACTGCTTCAAATTCAATCTTTAAAAAACAGAGCTCATAATATTTCCTCTACCCTGTGCCCCCTCCCCCGACTTCTTGATTTAGGTCAATAACACAATTATCAGTCCTCACACACATGCCAGGATGCTGGGTGTAATCCTGGACTCTGACCTCTCCTTCAGGTCCTACATCCAATCAATTACCAAATCTTGCTGTCTTAACCTCTGTAACATAGCCCAACATATAAAATACTAACAACACTATACAAAGCCATCCACATCTCTGCCCACAGCTACATCACCAACCTCATCTCAAAATATCACCCAAACCATTCTCTCTGCTTCTCC